GCTCAAACCCACCAGCTGCTCCCTGGAAACCCTATACAGGATCATGCCTCTGAGTCAGAACTGACTGTTTGGCACTTAACAGCAGTACAACAATGGATTAAAAAAGAGACTATAAAAGATGAGAATAACCAAAACAAATCCATCAATTCTTCCATGTAAAACTGGGGCAAATAAGAGTCCCGCACAGAAAAGACCAGGAAGAAGTTAGCTTGTTTCCATGTTATCACTGGATGGAGGAAGAAAACATATCTCTCCTAAGAATTTAAACTGCAAGCCAGTGTTCACGCTAACTCTACTTTAAATTCACACGACCCACGTGGTTCAAAGAAGCTCACAGAGAAGTTTACTCAGAGGAGCCTCGGCTTGGTGGTGCCTCCAGATGGCTGGCAAAGGAAACAGATCATTCTCTGTGAGAACTTGACCTCAGCAAGCCCCCGGTAACACTCACAATAACACCAGCAGTGATGTTAAACCATGAACAGCTGATCTCCTAGAAGTGACCAGATACAAAAGCCCTAATCCAGCTCAGGGGTGAGAGTATACATAAAAACGATTGTTGTTGTTGTTAGGTGCCATCAAGTCGGTCCCGACCCATAGTGAGTGACCTTATGCACAGCAGAACGAAACACTACCCGATCCTGGGCCACCTCACTACTGTTGCCACGCTTGAGTCCATCGATGCTGCCACTTGGCCAATCCAGCTCGTTGGGGGTCTTCCTCTTAAAACGATAGAGTATAGATCAAATCAGTAGTGCGATGGCCCTGTAGGATAAGCACAGGACTGAGAGACCACCAGCTGCTCCAAGGGAGAAAGATGAGGCTTCTGCGCTTCCAAAGATTTAAAGCCTTGGAAACCCTACGCAGGGTCACCGTGAATGGGAAAGGAGTCAGCGGCGCTTAACAACAACATAGATAAAAAAAAAGTTGTTCTATATTTTATTTAACATACATAGACTTAATGCTTGGAGATGTAGTATAAACTGTATTTACAAATGTAGACATCTGAGGGTATGTCAGAAAGTATTGCTACAAAATCATGGAAAACCTTTATTGAACAAAAATGAATGTGAAGGTATTGTTTCTCAACATATTCTCCAACTAGGGCTACATATACTTCGAAGTCTACGTTTCCATCGCTGTAACCCCCAAAGAATTTTGCGCTCTCAGATTCTACATCTTGTCAAAATGGCAGTTTGGGCACCCTTGAGAATTGTGTTTCTTTTCAATGTTCCTTGAATTTTAAAAACAAAAAATAAGTTTGAAAGGGCAAGCTCAAGGCTGTAGGGTGGATCAGATTCTCATAGACCAGTCCCTGCTAACCTTGAAGAATGAGCAGGTACGTTGCTGAGATGGAAAACAATTCCTCAGCACAATTCTCTTGACCAGTGTAGTTTTCAATTAAAAGAAAGGGAAAAATCCTCTTGCTTGCAATAAGCCCCCCCGATCATCTGTGCCCTTCAAAAAAAGCTATCAAGATGACCCATTTACCCCAGAACTAGTCATCAGAGCTTTTTGAACTGACCTCTCTGCCTTGAATTCAATTGACCTGCTCAGCAGACCCCCTCGGAAGGCACCATTTTAATTGGGCCTTATTTGTGGAAGGTGTCCTAACCAGACTAAGGCAAGCGTACCGCTGAGAGAGCTTGTCTGATCACAGTGACATGCTGAAACAGGATTTGTTGGGGATGGAACCCTAGTAGCAATACTTTTTGACTTAGCCTCCTATTGGGTGGCTTTTGAACTACAGCCTCGTCGTCTCACTAGCGGATATCAAGCTGGCTCCAGTTCACGGTGGCCTCGTGTACCACAGGATTGGACCATTGTGGTCCACAAGGTTTTCACTGGATGGTTTTCAGAAGTGGGTTTCCATAGCTTCCTTCCTAGCCCATTTATGTTGAAAGCTCTGCTTAAACCTCTGCAGCATCCTAGCAACACACAAGCCTACACTGCCACAGGGCTGGTGGTTGTGCATGAGATGCATAGACCAGGAATTGAACCAGGGGCCTCTCGCATGGAAGGCAGGCATCCTATCCCTGAGCCACTACTGTCCTTGCCTGGCAGCACCATTCCATCACTAAATTCCATCCAGGAGACGGAGGAGAGACAGAATGCATGCTCAGATAGGGAGTCCGTTTCTGTCTGTGAATGTAGACTTTAGTCGATATCACCATCGTCTTCAGCACTTTTGAGCAGCTGGCCTGTGCCCTCCAAACCTGCTTCCACACTTTTCTTCGTATAATCCACTTTCCCAAATTATTTGCTCAGCATACAGAGTGAATAAGGAGACAACCTTGGAGCACACCTTTCCTGATTTTAAACCATTCAGTATTTACAGGTTCCTCATGAGTACAATTAAGTGTTCTGGAATTCACATTCTTTGCAATATTATTCACAGTTTGTTATGATCCACACAGTCTAATGTCTTTGCATAGTCGATAAAACACAACTAAACATTCTTCTGGTGTTTTCTGCTTTTAGCCAAGATCCATCTGACATCGGTAATGACACCCGCCTTGTTCCACGTCCTCATCTGAATTCAGCTTTAATTTCTGGCACTTCCCTGTCAATGTACTAGTGCCGGAGTTTTTAAATGATCTTCAGCAAAATGTTACTTGCCTGTGATATGAAGAACATGGCATCGGGATTGGAGGAAGACTCATTAGCAACCTGTGATATGCAAATGACATAACCTTGCTTGCTGGAAGCAAAGAGGACTTAAAAGACTTATTGATGAAGATCAAAGATCACAGCCTTCAGTATGGATTACACCCCAGTGCAAAGACAACAAAAATCCTCACAAGTGGACCAATAAATAATGTTATTGTAAATGAAGAAATGATTGAAGGGGTCAAAGACTTCATTTTGCTTGGATCCATGATCAGTAGCAGTCAAGGAATAAACGACAATTAAGCAAATCTGCTGCATGAGAGTTAAAGACCAAAGACATCAGTTTGAAGACTAAGGTGGGCCTGACCCAAGCCAGACATTTTCAGTTGCCTCCTGTGTATGTCAAAGTTGGACAATGAGTAAGGAAGACCATGGAAGAATTGATGCATTTGAATGATCATGTCGGAGTAGAATATTGAAAGTACCATGGACTACCAGAAGCACAAACACATCTGTGTTGGAAGAAGTCCAGCCAGAGTGCTTCTTGGAATCCACGATGGTGAGACTTCATCTCATTCAGACATGTTGTCCGGAGGGACCAGTCCCTAGAGAAGGATATCATAGTAAAGTGAGGGTCAGTGAAAAAAAGGAAGCCTCCCAATGAGATGGAATGACACATTGGCAGCAGCAATGGGCTCACAGCTAACAATCGTGAGGCCGAGGCAGGGCACAGTGTCATTCTGTTGTATGTTGTTGTTGTTGTTGTCAGGTGCCATCGAGTCGGAACCGACTCATAGCGACCCCATGTACAGCAGAACGAAACAATGTCCGATCCTGGGCCAACCTCACCACCGCTGCCACACTTGACGCCATCAATGATGCCACCTGGCCGATCCATCTCGTTAGATGTAGGATCACTGTAAGTCAGAACTGACTCGCCAGCACCTAGCACCAACAGGAAGTCCGTGTGCCTGGGTGGTACGTGGTACAGAGTTTGCACTCAACTAAAATCCAAAACCAAACTCAACCAGTTGTCAGTGATTTGATTGTGGTTTGAACCCGTGAAGCAGTGTTGTGAAACAAAGACCTAGAGATCTGCTGCCAAAAAGACCACAGCCAGGAAGACCCGGCGGAGCAATTCTACACTGTCACAAGGATTCTCCATGACTCTACGACATTCTTTTGTTTATTCTGTGTGGCACTCTAAGATGAGCACTGGGCAGCGAACCGCGAGGTGGGCAGTTCAAACCCACCAGTCACTTCTTGGAAATCCCATACAGGGTCATTATGTGTCAGAATCGACTCAATGGAACTTAACAACGTAGGGCTTCCAGAAGTGGCTGGTGAGTTTGAACTGCTGCCAGGACTGTAGTTGTTGTTGAGTGCCACCGAGTCGGTTCCAACTTACAGCGACCCTGTATAGGGTTTCCATGGAGCAGCTGGTGGATTTGAACTGCTGACCTTAAGGTTAGCAGTCCAGCGGTGATCCTACAGCACCAGGATTTACCAGTATAATAACTGAGCAGTGAGTGAGAGATCCAGGAAGCTCCAGTTTACCTGTTACAGGAGAACCTGGTGGATCTATGGGCCTGTGTCAGGCTGGGGCGTTTCAGATCTGTGCTGTAAATCCAGGGACAGTCAGAACAGGGTTGAACCCCAATACCAAGGAGCTAGCACCCAGTGATTGGCCAGAGCTGCTGCTTAGGGTCAGAACCAGAACCCAGTGGTAATGAAGGTGCTTACTAATATCTCTCCCCTAGACCGGTGGGGCTGCTTGCAGCTTTCATACATTTAGCCCAAGTCCCGCACCCAAAAAGGCAGTAAGTGAGCCTCTCTCTGTGGAGTGGACCGTGACGCGCTAGGCCAGGCCTGAGTTGGACGCCCCAAGCCCACCTGGAGCCCCCTGAGATGGAAGGGTCACGGAGCTGGAGGCCCCAGAGTTGGGAGACCGGCGGGGCCCTCTCCAGCTCCCTCGCGGGGTCCAGACCTGGTCACACACGACACCGAGGCGGGACACTGAAGCTTCCGCCGGGGGCGCCAGGCCGCACCCGCCGCGCAAACCCCGCGGGCTCGGCTCCGTGTTCCACCTCCAGAGTTATGTAATCACCGCCGTCACGGCCCCAGGACCAGGACTTCGGAAGTCCGGGTGGCGGATAGATGGAGTGGCACGTCAGCCACGCCCCTAGGTGAGAGAGCACCTGAGCCCACGCGGGAGGCAGGTGAACCAGGGCTGTGCGGGCCGGGTTTCGGAGCAAAAGGGGTACAAGGCGGGAAGCCAGGAGGAGGGTCTCGGGGGCGGTCCCCTCCTGATCCCGGCTCCGCCCCGCTCCCCCGCCCTGCCAGGTCCCCGCCCCTCGTCCCCGCCCCTCGCTCGGGTCCCCTCCCGCCGCGCCATGGTGGAGCGGGGAGACGCAGCGCCTCTGCTGCGCTGGGCCCAGGGCCCCGCCGTGTCCCCGCCGAGCGCCCCGGAGCTGCAGGCCCAAGGCCGGGGTTGGGCCAGGGGCGCGCGGGCGCCCGAGGAGCTGGGAGCCCCCGAGGTGCTGCTGCAGCCAGGGCGTCTGGAGCTGGGCGACGTGGAGGAGGACCAGGTGGTGGCCGTGTTCGTGGTCACCTTCGATCCCCGCTCGGGTAAGCGCCGCGCTGAGCCGGGCCGGGATGGGCTGGGGGATCCTGCCGCCTCCTCCCGGGCCTTGGGGGAGGCGGGGAGGGCTTACTGCTCGCACCCCGCCCCTGCATCCCCGCACCCCAACACTTGCATATCGTCTCTGCACCCCCGCATCCCAGTACTTGCACTCTCGTCTCTGCACCCCTTCACTTTTACCCGCCCCTACACCGTCGCACACCTGCACCCCCGCACACCTGCACCCCCACTCTCCACTCCTCGCACCTGCCCTGCCAGGCGACTCTGGACTCCAGACTGGGCCTCGCCCCCCCACCTAACCGAGACGGGGTAGGGGGTGCTGAGTCTGCGCGTCCCTGGACCCCGCTTTGTCCGAGCCCCCCTGGCTCCCCGTGGATCTGGCCCCTAGGGCTTGTACCTGCTCCTGATTGTCCCCTCTTGTGGCCGGAGTAGGACATGCTTTTGTTCTCCCTGTTTTTTCCGCTGGGCAAACCGGCTGCCCAGTAGAGAGGAGGAAGCCCAGGTGAGCCCCTGAGCTTAAGGCCCGAGCGCCCGCGTCTCTCTTCCGCTGGGCCGCACAACTTTCCTTTTAGCAGCCAAGTTCACTGCGACAAGTACTTGAGTTCCTGCTGGGGATGAGGAGGAACGGAACTGTGGGGTTGGGGACTGTGGCAAACAGGAGGCTTCCTTAGGTGGCCAATTTTCCTGGGAGTTGAGAATTAAGAGCTGTGTTGCATCACCTTTGGCCAACCACCCAGGAAGGGTGTGTGTGTGTGTGCACAGTGGTGCAAAGATTTCTGGATGGAGGTTTCACCAAGGCCTTGGGTGTCTGCGATGGGCTGTTGGAGGTGGAGGGGTCCCACTTGGAGACATAATTCTAGGTTGAAAATAACGACCAGGCTGTCCCTTGTATCAGAAAGGAGAGCGTTGTGTTTTGCCTGGATTTGGCTCCCAACACTCTAAGAATGAGCTAGCCGGCTTCTAAGGAACCTGGCTTGATAGCATGCTAGGGTTCCGAGGTGAATTCAGGTATGGCTGAAGATGGTGGGATTTCAGGCTGGATCACAAGGAGTATGCGATGCAGAAATAACTTGGGTTCACAGAGGTGAGGTCTCTTTCACAGCAGACAGTTTATTCCCACTCTGACCTGCTGTTTTGCCCCATTCCAATGGCTTTTACATTTTTTCTGACTTGACCCACCACATGAATTCAAATTTCCATCACCAGCACACACATACTCATGGCCCTGAAATCGGATTGCAGGAGACGCCATGCCCCCTACTTTATGCCGCGCAGAGTGGTGGGTGCTACGCTTTGTGTTTTCTGTTTGAAGTTCTTCACACGTGCTGGTCAAAAATAACTTGGGGCTCCCAATGAACATTTGGTCCTTTCTTTTCTTCCTTCCTTTCCTTTCCACTAAAGTAACCTTTCCTGCTAAAGAAGAATAGATACTTTAACACTAATTGATTCCTCATGTCCTAGCTCATCACCTACCAGTTGCCGAACCCGTTGTCCTAGGATGAACTCGAACTCATGTTGTAATACCCCATGGGTATTAGCATCGAACTATGCTCCATAGGGTTTTTCAGTGGTTGGTTGGCTTAGCAGAGATGGCCAGGCTTTACTTCAAGGTGCCTCTGGTTGAACTTTGACTTCCTACTTTTCAGTGAGCAGCCAAGTGCATTCACTATTTGGACTATCCAGGGATTCCATACCACCTACAGGTAACGAGATACAGCTAAACACTGGATTGCTAACTGCAAAGTCAGCACTTCAAACTCTCTACAAGAGAAGGACGATACTTTCTGCTCCCGAAAAGATTTACAGCCTCGGAAAACCCTATACAGGGTCACAGTGAGTTGGAACAGACTCTTTGGCAGTGGGCTTGACATTTTTCTATGTGTTTTTAAAGACTCGCTCAGGGAAGTGGTTACTAGTAATGAGTAGAAATTGTTGTTGTTAAATGCTGTCGAGTTAGTTCCAACTCATAACCACCCTGTGTAGGGTTTCTGAGGAGCAACTAGTGAGTTTGAACCGTCAACTTTGCAGTTTAAACCGAACTTGCGGTCCAGTGCTTATCCTATGGTACCACAGAGAGAGATGGCCAAATTGAAAAGCACCCACATACACATTGAAGGGTGTTCAGACTAAGCGTAGCGTGGAAAGCAGACGTTGTAACTAATACTTCCAGTACATTCAGCAGCTATTTTGCTTTAATCTGTTGTATTTAATTCTCATCACTACTAATCTGATGACCGTTTAGGCCCAATTTATACACAAGGAAACAAGCCAAGGCTGGTTAAATAATGTGCAAACATTGCTCCATCAGTAAATACACTAAATTAACTCTGTATCCGGCTATCTTTCTGCTGTCCCGCCCTGCTACGGCTCTGCTTCCTGATGTCACAGCCTCACTCTGCTCAGGGGGTGGGGACCATAGGGAGGGACAGAGAAAGGAAAATCCTTGAAATGTTGTTGGTTGTTGGCAATGCACGGTTCCCACCTACATACTTGCTTCTCTCTCTTTTGTCCTCTGTTATTGTTAAGTGTCCCTGAGTCAGTTCTGACCCATAGCGACCCTGTATAGGGTTTCCTCGGAGTGGCTAGTAGATTTAAACCGCTGATATTGTGCTTAGTGGTCCAGTGCTGATCTTACAGCAGCGTACCAGGACTATCCCAGTCCAAACACCTTGATCATCTACCTATCAACCCAACCTATCTATCTATCTATCTATCTATCTATCTATCATCTATCTATCTATCTATCTATCTATCTATCTATCTATCTATCTATCATCTATCTATCTATCTATC